AAGCGTAATAGTTGTGAGTAGGAATCATTGCAGTGATATGCTGTGAAACTCATCTAGCGTTATTGTTTTTATGAGAGCAGGAGACAGGATATGAGATCCTCTCGTGAGTGACGTTGTGACGTGTGCGGATACGGGCTGAGAGAGAGAGAGAGAGAGAGAGAGAGAGACAGAGACAGAGACAGAGACAGAGACAGAGACAGAGACAAAGACAGAGACAGAGAGAGACATACATACATACATACATACAGACGTTGTGTACCTCCATTGCAAGAACCTGACCGGAGGGCGAGCCCTTCACTTCTATCCTTAGTTGCTGCAGCTGCCAAACGAGCAAGCAGCAAAAGAAATTGCCGGGATTCTTCATTCCAAGAAAGCCACCAACGAGATATAACTGGTGTACAGACACAGTCCTTTTTGAAGTGCGTGTGCAGCTTTGTGGGGTGAGGTTTGTTCTTCTGAAGAACACCTGCATGCGTGCTTGTCCGCTGTTAGACTATTCGTAGGGGGTCTGTGCAATACCGCTTACTAAAGCTTCTGCAGCACAGAGGGCACTGGAGAGAGGGTTTGTGACGTGGAAGCCTAAGGGGACAAAACAGACACCGTAACAAACAGCACCGCCTGTGCGAAGGCTTCTTGTACGACGATTATGGCCTCTGAGAGAGCTGGCCTGCCTGTTAAAGACGCTGAAGCAACGACACCTGGCACCAAGGCAGCGAAGAAGCTTCGATCGGCAGCACAAGGCACTAGAAAAATCGGCGCGTTGCAAATGCATCACAGCTAGTGATGCATGCCTCTCCCCTTAAAACGCGTACGAAACGCTTCGCACAAAGCTGTAAGACCTCACGCATGCAACGAGATGCACGTGTACAAAGGATACATTTCATACTCTGCGAGGTCAGCTCGGCCTTCTCCAGGTTCCCGCGGGCTTCCTGTAATCGCCTTCTCAGCTGTTCCTCCAAAGCGCTGTAATTCTGAGTCTTGTACACCCCAGCATGAGAGGCCCCAGCATCGCTGCTGTGCTGGAGAGTGCCTGCGACAAATGGCTCCCAGCTGGCGGCTGTGGAGCCACCCCAAGGGCCTCCTGAGAGGAAGTCTGCCATAGAAAGGAGAACTTGTAGGTCTCTGTCCAAGTGGCTGCTGCACTTTTGCCAGAATTACCCCTGCTGGGAGTGCGAGAAGCTGCGGCTGACAAGGTGATCGCGGCGGAGAAAGGAAGCTACAGCCAAAATCTGAAGCCTGATCCGTAGAACTTTACGGTCAATCCCAAGGCATTCAGGACCCCGAGGGGCGCCTTCGTCACTTAGGCATAGCTACAGTCTCCATTAGATGAAGATTGGACGTTGAGGCTCTACCGTTCAGGGTTCTTGCAATAGAGAGAACCACCGGGCGCTGAAAGAAGGTGACTGCAGCCTCCTACAGCGGGAGTGTGCGTGGCCCAGCAGCAAAGGCGAGGCATTAAAACGATAAACCATTTGCGAAAGAATAGAAAATGCTAAAACACGAAGAAAAACAGCAACGGGCATGCATTGGCTTCTGGCTGTTTCCAGCCTCGGGCCAGTGGTGCCCCCGCTCCGTCGACTGTACAGACACCCCACAACAAACTTTAGGCCCTGAATCCTAAACAGTGCGACTTTATTTTATAACATTGGATTTACTATAGCACATGGACCTCATAGTCTTTGGCTCTATCACAGGCTTTTCTGCCATCTACACCCAGGCACCCTACGCAGGAACTTGATAGGTTCTATGCACGATCAAAACATCTGAAAGCATCGAATGAGATATAACTGCGAAAAAGAGTACTGCGCAGCTCAATAAAGGAGGCAGAAAATCCATATGCGTGCTGTTATACAGAGGTCCAGATCAACAGAGACCACACAAAATCAGAGGGGAAAGTGCCGCCCTGGCGGGGTTTAAGGCGCCAGTTTGTTTATGTAGCTTGAAGTAAGTTATATGCCATGTGTCATTTAAGCGTGGAAGATGTATGTATAACGCAGTGTTGCATACTCATTCGCATGCATGCGTGTAAGCATGTATGAGATGCCGTGTGCATACACGCGCAAGTGCATGGCTCCAAAAGCTGGGGTTCAGCAACCCTTCTTCTTTCATTTGCTCCTCCACGGGTCAACATCAAGGCGGCAGCTCCATCAAGCTAACACATTCGTGACAAAAAGCATGCACATAGAAGGAACATTCTGTTTTCTAAGTGTGTAGCGGGCAGGTTACCGCTACACATTTTCTGCCACACCGGCACCCTGAGCTAGGAATTGATGAAAACTCTACTAATTGGCTCGTCTGTCCGTATAAACTGTTGATTTCGAAGTACTGCTTGTTTTCAGACGCAGTGCTTTGGGGGTGTGTGCCTGATGCTACGTGCAAATAGCTGGGAATACTTGGATGGTCTGGCTACGCGCACCCTAGCCGTCTTTATTCCATCATGTGGGGTATTCTGAGGGGCACGGGGAGGGAAAGGAGGGAGTTCTGTTGAAGAACCCAAGAACCTGTAAAGTGTTTCATCTAGAGTTAATGTCTCCCAGCGGAGACCTCAGATGGAGAATACCAATATGGGAAACATGTAGAAGGACGTAAATAAACCGCCCGTCCCTCATAGATTAGGGCTGACGCATTCGCAAGCAGACCGATACACACCCTTGACACTCTAAACAAGGTATTTCCGCGTCGCTACTCATGTCAAGCCTACGAGTATAAATGAAATAGGACACCAATAAGGCAGACAGCCGAAAGGGAAAGCAAGTGTTCTAGCTGGTATGGAGAAGCGTACGCACTCCTGTTTCGTCTCTGAGCATCTCCTTCAGGCTCCCTCATGAAACAAAATTGAGACTTTCGTGTTATTAGTCCTGCTCTGCAAGTGCTCTTGTGTCAACAACGTGGAGTGGATTCGAGACAAATGATGCACGCGTACATCAAAGAATAGGCTTTAAACAATTTCCTCGGTTTCGGTTCCCATGGTGAACCTCATTCAAAAGAGGCTTTTGTTTCCCCATTTCGCCATACATTTCAGACTTCCTAGGTGACGAGGCTGACACTCGGCCCTTTACGTTGTTACCGACATTTGAGGCCCCATGACAGTCTTTGGTGCTCCAATTCCGTACGAAACCAAGAAGTGGCGTGCAAATACATTCGCCAACACAGGCATATGTGTATACGCATGAGCTTATTTTGAGCATTTGTAACTCATGCTTGAGGCTTCGATGTGTGCACGTGTGCGTGTGCCCATACTGGTGCGTACTCACGCACGCTAGAATGAGCCTATGTGCTTGCTTGCATACACAAGAGCCATAGTACATCCAATGGTCTGAATGCATGCATCTACGGCTAGACGTGCTAACACATACAGAAACACGTTTGCACCTATGAGCATGCACTTCCAAGCGTGGGCATGCACCCTGCTGACGATAAAGCTAAAGAGAGGCTTGCCTCCTGGATCAGCACGGTGTTTCTGCGGCCGCTACGAGATGCAAACACGGGCGTCGCTGCAGCTCTGAAATCATGGACCTGAGAGATGTATGTGGTGGCTAGTTAACCTGGATGCAGTAGGCAGCCCACAAGGTGCCCTAGGAGTGTTTAATCTGAAGCAACGGACACAGGAGACGTCATCCAAACAGAACTTCACGCAAGCCTTAATGCGAAGCTCTTGAAATTGACAAATGGGAAAAGCGAGGCCGCTAAGAAAAAGGAAACACACCTATCCGGCAACGGTCGCTGTGGTAATTAGTGAGCGTTCGACAGAAGAGCTTGCGTGCTTACTGGTTTCAGAGGAGGTGCACGGACACCCGAGGCATCAATAGACTTTTCAACATCTTCGTCTACTTGACCCACAACAGCGCTGTGAAGAAAACACAAAACAGCACGAGACATGCACTTAAAGGAGTGGCCGCCCGCAGCGTTCTGGAGTGCCTTTTACAAACAAATGCTATCGTTACTGAACGGAAAGAAGTGAGCTTCCTTGCAGATGTTGGTGGCACACCCATTGAAGAGGTCCATTGCACTGGTCTGCATGCCTGTTTTTGCCTTTATGTATATTGTTAGAAACTTTTTTTGACGGCTAGTGCCCTGGCCTGAGAGAGTGGGCCTTGCTCTACTCTACCCTCCGTGCCCCTTCTGTTTCGCATCCTCTTTCAAACGCTGTTAAGGCTCTCTCTGTATTTCCTCAACTACCCTTCATACGCCCTCCTTGGTCATAGAAACAGACAACCCCACGCGAGGTACATGCCTGTACACGAGAACGTGTCTATACAGGGGGGAGGACAGCAAAAGGGGCCGGCACAGCGAAGACAGACTCGCAGTGACGTACACGAACGCCAGTAGACAAGAAACACCGAGAGGAATGCGCACACGGAGTCAATGCGAGTACTGCATGGGGTGTATTGACCACATTCAGAGCACGGTGGCACCGACTGCGGATGCCATAATTCAAGGAGCAGCCTAGACTACGTGGAAGATTCACAAAAAGCAAAGGCATAAGCAGAGAAGGGACTGCTTACATATTATCTCCTCTTAGAAGATACAACCCCAGGGGCACGATCTCTACTGGTGCGTCCTCGTGGACCACCTTTTCCGTGCACTTGTTCAAGACGAGGTTTGTGGACTGATCAAAGGCTATTAAAGTACCCATGAACAGGCGGCCGTCAAACGTCAGCACACAAACTCGCTCTGCAAACAGGCATACAAACACCGATAGACAAAAAACCACCAACAGGAATGCACACATGGGGTCCACGCACGGACGGCATGGGGTGTATCGACCATATCCAGAACACGGCAGATGATGAACGAGACCTATAGATATCATTCGGGAGCCCGCAATGCAGAAAGCCAAAAAGGACCAGCACACTACTCAACAAGTTACCCAATAGCATAGTGCGTCGAGCACATATGCAATGAAAACATACAGTTCCTGGATATATCACTGGCCTGCAGCTCGAGCACCAGTTCACCGCGGGAAGTCAGCCAACGCGTAACAATGGCTAGATTCATGAACAATCCATGAAACGGAAATGCGGGGGAACATGGACTATCGAGAGAACACGGGCAAAAAGATTCCTTATCATGAGGGTGCAACAACAAGGAGGTTCAAACTTGCATGCATATCGCAATACGCTCATGAGCTGACCCATTTGGGGTGTGATTTGGGGTTAATCTTACGCTCGAGAAGAGATTGAAGGCCAGAAGCCATTGTTTCTGTTTTCTTTAGAGTAAGCGCAGCTAGCAGAGGGACTGATAAACGGTGAAGACAACAACAGATCTGTAAGATCGGCGGGGAAGGGCACCGAAGAAAGAAGCTTCAAACGAAAAGCACTTTCTACAGCTGCCGCCGGTAAAGTATCCGTTGCGGTTTTCCTCCTTTGCTTCCCTAACAGACCCTCAAGCAAGCAACAGTTGCCTTTTACCCGCCGATGTGCGCCTTTGGCTGTATAAATGCATGCGCAATTTAGCTTCTTCGAGAAAAAAGCTCGACCCCACAACTGGCATGGCTTCGCCTTATGTGGCATACAGTTCAGGTGTTGATTTTAATGACAGGATAACCCGCCAAACGCTTCACTGTCGCAAAGAGCTAAAGACAAAAAGCCCACCTATGCGGCTTTGACAGCCGAAATTCCAGCCCCCCAAACACTTTCAAAGATGGACAAGCCTCGGCGGGCACAAATTAATTGGTGAGAAATACAGTATTGCGAGATTTACCGAAGAATCGCAACTCAGCTGTCCCGCATGCAGCCAATTGAGGGCGCACGCCATGCAAAAGTACAGCATTTTAGTGGCCGCTCGATAGGGAGAAAGAGATTAAAATCCGCTGCTAAGGCTTTTTCTCGGCGTTTTCTACCGCAAGAGTATAAGTCGGCACTAACAAGACTCGCTTTCTCCTATGTAACGTTCATGGCATGCCATCTCGTTTGACGGCTGCTAGTAGGCTCATGACGAGGCGTCCTGCGCTGTTGTCGAGAAGGTATCGAGACCGCTCTCTTGCCGAGAGCATGATCATGTGCGTTGTGTGTCTGCGTATTTCATGAGTCTAAGGGGCAGGAGAACTTCCGAATGCGGCGCTGTACAGCCGTTTTTTGATGCATCCGACGCGCAGGTTGTAGCCATGGAGTTCCCCGTGCTGATCCCCGATGACTTTGCCGCGGCGCAGTTGCCGCAGCTCGCAGAGCTGCTGCGCATGCAGGTGCAGGATGTCTCTCCCGCCTTGTTGCAGCACATGTGGGAAATCCTCGCAGGGGGTGTTGCCCCGCATAAGGAAACGACCATCGACTCCACAGCTGTAGAGAGTCTCCGTGACTTTGTTGAGGCAATCGTCGAGCCGCTTCACACGCAGGAGAGTTTCTGCAGCGCTAGACCCCTGATGGAACGCTTTGTAGACGCCTTTGTAACCCGCGCTTGCAGCAGCAGCAGCTGCAACGCCTCCGCCATGAGTGATGACGGTAACAGAGCAGGAGAGCCTCAGTCCTTTCTGCTCTCTCAGAATCGCAGGGAAACAGTTGCGTTTTCACAGCCCACCTTCCTTGGGGATGCTGACGCAGCTGCGCGATCTGCTGCTGTTTCCGCGGAAGAAACAGCTGCTCCTGCTGTTTCTCCCCATACTCTCGATAACCCCTCCTCCGCCTCCGTGCAAAGGAAGGAGAGATCTTTCGGGGGAGAGAAGCCTGTGGCTGCTTCTGCTAGGAGCACTGGGGGTGCAAAATCAGCGAGCGGCGGAGATGGCAGCAGCAGCAGCAGCTGCAGCAGAAGCGGTGTGGGGAGCTCTCATGCAGAAAGACACAGCGAAAAGCAGCGTCAAGCACCTCCTCAGAGACAGCGGCCGCAGATGCAGCAGCCGAAGAAGGGAATATATCCCCAGCAGCAAGAAAAAAAACAGCTTCTGCCGAGCAATCCGTCAACTCAAACGCACCGACCACAGGAGATGCCCGTCCAGTACCCTGCACATGCGCCACAGAATTCAGTACCGCCCTTAAACCACCATCTGCAGAAGACGCAGAAGCAGCAGCAACAGAAGCAACAACAGAAGCAAGAGAAGCAATTGCTGCTGCCGCAAAAGGGGAGAACACAAGACAGCATGCCACCTTCTGCGGAGGAGTTGCTTGAGGACGTGGGCTGGGCAGAGGCACCCCCCCCAAGAAAGCGGGTGCCTCGCAAGCAGCAGCAAGTGTTGCAGCGATTCGGAGTTGCTGTTGTATCTGCAGCGCCAAGCAGTTGCACTTCGAGCAGCAGCAGCAGCCGCTCTCAGACGGAGCATGCAGGCAGGCAGAAGGCAGGGAAGCTAGAAGCCTCTCTCCCCGCAGCCAAAGCAGCTACTGCCCACTGCCTGTGCCTTGGCGTGGATCATGGAGTGTATGGCGTGTGCTTGAGCTGCGGCTTGATTCGCTGCCACTACGACATCAGCAGCAGTGGAGAGTCTGTGCAGCATGCCCCTCGGTGTTTGTTTTGCGGCAACGACATTGTGCCTAGTAGAGGTCTCACCGCGCTTTCTGCTGCCGTGAACAAGCAGCTGATCGAAAGCAGGAGTGAACTCGCACTGCTGCAGGAAGAGGTTCAGCAGCAACAGGCTCACCAGCAGAAGCTGCAGACGCAGCAGCCAACGGAGGCGATCCAGGAGCGCCTGAGACGGCTGCAGCAACAGATTGCCGCTGATGAGGCTCACCTTAAAGGTAGGTCCCCAACTTCTTTTTGCTGCTGCTTAACAATTGTCGTTAAAAAGCCTTCGCCACTTTGCCTCTTCCTCCCTTCCTTCCGCACCTTCCCTCCTCACAGCCACCTGAGAGGCTGTGGGGTTCCTCCACGGCCAGAGATGCGCATGCACACGTGGGGAATTTCTGCGTTGCTGTTGTACGGCGGCTGCTGCTGTGCATGCTTCTTGTGGAGGCTCTCGCTAAGCGCTTGTTGCACTGCTTTTCATGATGTGACGGTGACAGCTGCCCCTGTGTTTCTTCAGCCTTGCGGCTGCACCGCCGACTAGTGGTGTGCGACTCGCAGTCACAACAACAAACAAAAATTTTGGATCTGAGCAGCTGCTGGTTCGACGCATCTGCCGGAGCCAGAGCGGAATCATCTCGCGCAGACGTGTGGCTGTCTCCAGCACGGCGAGAAGAGAGGGCCGCCTTGCTTCAGCGTCTTACGAATGCGTTCAACGCAGAAAAAGGTAGAACTGTAGGGAGTACTGAGAGAGATAGATAGAGACATATAGAGACAGATATAGAGATAGATATATATAGAGAGAGATAGACACACATTTACGCACCTTTACACACATACACATTTACACGCACACATACACATTTACACGCACACACACCTTTACACACACACACACATTTACACACATACATTTACACACATACATTTACACACATACACATTTACACGCACACATACACATTTACACACACACACACACACATTTACACATACACACACACCTTTACACACACACACACACCTTTACACACGCACATACACATTTACACACACACATACACATTTACACACACACATACACATTTACACACACACATGCACATTTACACACACACATACACACATTTACACACATACACACACAAACACACATTTACACACACATACACACATTTACACACATTTACACACATTTTCACACATATACACACATTTACACACATTTACACACACATACACACATTTACACACATACACATATGTACACACACACACATTTACACACATACACATATGTACACACACACCCCTAAACAGAGAGAGAGAGATCCTTGAATTTCGTGGGAGCGTTGAATTGAAGTGCTCCGCCACGGCCTGCGGTGATGTATGATGTATGGCGTGGCGTTGAAGATGGCGAGGCGCCCATCGCGTGCGGTGTCTTCTCGCTCTCTGCCTCCAGCTCAGCATGCGAGCACTGTTGAAAAGCCTTCGTTTGCTTGTTTCTGCCTGCTTCTTTTCGACAACACGTCGTTCACGTAATTGTTCGCGTGTATTCTTTGAGAGCCCCACTGGGGAGAAGTCGGCGAAGAGCCCCCGCAGAGCATCTGCGGGGGTTCTTTGCTTCGCGTTGAGCCACGAGTGCATGCACGCACCAACCCTCTCGAAGGGTTTGTTTTCTTCAAAGGCTTTTGCATTGCTGCGCGTCAGGCGTGTCTGCCTCCGTTCCCGCTGCCTGCACTGCTGCAGGCCGTGCGAAGCTCACGTTCGACTTTGAGGGGCGTCGCGTGGTTGCGGAGTCTTCGACTTTGCCAGAGGAAGCCGAGGCGTTGCTGAGAGCCTTTGACGAGCAGTGCCAGGAGGAGAATATGCAGGCGCAGCAGCAGCAGGATGCGCGGCAGTCGCTCGCAAAAGAGGAGAGAGACCTCGCGGAAAGGAGCCCCAAGAGAAGCCCACGATCGACTCCTGCAACTCGCGTGCGGCAGCGCATGCAAGAGCAACGATGGCCAAAGCTGGAGGCGGGAATGCAGCAGCAGCAAGAGGCTTCTGCTACTGCATGGCCCTCTCTTGACGCTGACAGGCAGCCGCAGCCGCAGCGGGAAGGGATGGATGACACCCCACTCGTGAGGCTTACGCCTGTCGAGCAGTTGCAAGAAGCCTGGAACGCCATGGTTGAGAGAGAGACAGCTGCAGCAGACGAGGAGCAGTCGCAGCTGGCAGCAGGAGAAGACTCCTCGCTGCAGCTCCTCGCTGACACGTCCCTTAGGGGCTTTGCACGCCTCTTGCTCAAAGACGTCTACGCAATCGCACGACCGCAGAAGCGCGCATCCAAGTCAGCGGCAGCAGCAACACGGCCAGGTGGAAAAACAGCAGTAGTAGGAGTTCGAGCCGTTTCGAGCTCATCAGAGGCAGAAAAAGCGGCGAAGACACCGCCGATCGCGAAGGATGGCAACAGAAAGGCAGGAGCTCAAGAGGCAGCAGGAGCTCAAGAGGCAGCAGGAGCTCAAGGGGGAGCAGGAGCTCAAGAGGCAGCAGGAGCTCAAGGGGGAGCAGGAGCTCAAGAGGCAGCATCACCTAATGCGGCAGACGCAGCAGCATCTTCTGCTGACGTCGAGGAGGAAGGCGCACTTCGTGGGCGCTGGCGTGCAGAGTTGTCTGTGCAGCAGCAGACACTGCTTCAACGACTGAGGGAGGCTCAGCAGCAGCGCGAAGGCTGCGAGTCGGCAGATGCACCTGCGGTATGGGGAATGCAGCACTTAGAGAAGCCTCAACAGTGGTCGGCGTATAAGGGGGGAAATCTCGGTGACAGAGTCTTTCGTGTGGGGGGCCCCCGAAGCGAAGGTTCTGCCTTTGGCGTTGCCTGGGGGCCCCCCCTGGAGGACGATGAGGCAGCTGCGGATGCGGAGACAGCCGAAGAGCACTTGTGGATAAGCCTGAGCACCGCTGCAGACGGCTTTGGCGTCGAGCAGCAGGCAGCGGAAGATGCAGAGGACGCTGGAGTTTGCCTCACCGTGAGCCAGCCGCATGCCTCCCTGATTGTGAGCGGCTTTGTCACCAAAGAAGTCAGGAGTTGGCTTTCTGCATACCGCGGCAGGTACATATTGGCTCGCACAAGCGCGAGGGGCCCCTGGGGGCCCCCTGGCTCTCCTGGTGTCTGGGCTGTCTCTTCGAGGAGAAAACGGCTTTGCGCATGCGACTCGTGGAATTTTCTGGCAGGGCATCTGACGAGCTTGCGCGTTCAAAAGGGGGAGGTGGGGTGGGAAAAATTTGCATGTTTTTTTGAGCATTGTGGGGTGGAAAAAAAGGCCTTTATCGGACCTCCCCAGAATTCTGCTCTGGAGAAAGAAGGGGGGGAGGGGGGCCTCTCTCTCCTCCGAGCCGTTACTGTGGAGGGATGACTTTCTCCCCACTGCCAGAGCCTCTAGTGACGCTTGACTGCCTCGATGGCTACGCTTCGAGAGGCGAGGGCTGGTGAATTGCGGGGTGCTGTTTGTTTTGTCTCGATGCGTGTTCCTCAGGCTGTGGATTCATGCGGCGGAAGCAGCTCCAAGCGGCGCTGCTGTTTCTGCCGCTGAGGCTCAATGCGAGCGCGAGGCTTTGCAGGCTGTCTCAGCTGTCTCCTCTGTAGAAGAGGGGGGCCCTTCACAGCGGCCTAGACTGCCCCCTTTCCCAGAACGCTATCCAACGCGCTGCGTGGTGGGTTGTGTGCGGCTCACAAGTTGCCTGCCAGCCTCGGTAAGCTCTTCGCAACGCCTCACACGTGCATGCGGGGATATACATGCAGTTGTAGGCGTGTTCGCTTTGCAGGTTCGCAGTTGCGGCTGCTCTCTTTAGGGGGATATGAGGGGAGGGGGCGATTTGTATCCGCCTGTTCGTGCGATCTTCGCACGTACCCTGTTGTGCTTAGTGCTGCGTGGAGCAGCACTAAGCCCTTCTCTTTCGAAGCTGCCCTCTCCTAGAGGACGCCGTCTTCCCTTCTGCAGCAGACCGTCCCTCCTTCCTTCCTTCATTCTTCCCCCTCCCCACCCTACCGTTCATCTGCGCCGTCTGTGTGCATGTCTTTCTACAGACGAAAGAGGGTTCCGAGAGCGAAGCCTTCCTTTTCTGCTTTGAGCGGCCTCAACTCTTGCGCGTACCCCTGAAGGTTAGCAGTGTCTTGTCTCCGTTGTGCGCGTATATACATATGCATACATACATTCATGCATACATACATTCATGCATACATACATTCATGCATACATACATTCATGCATACATACGGCTGTGAGCAGCCGCCACATGCGCGTTTTTTCCACGAGATCGCATTTCGCCGCCGCCTCCCCTGCGAAAGTGGGCACCCTCTGTAGTTGCTATATGCGTTGCTGTGAGTGGTGTGTGCCAAACAGATAGGAGGAGGAGAACGCTTCTGGTGTCTGCCTAAGAGCCTCCTTGGCACCCTCCAGGCCTCTTTGCTGCCTCCGCGCTGGCCAGCCTTCTTGAATCCGTGTTAAATGGAGGAAGCAGGGGGGTTCATTAGGGCGGCTTCAGCCGTCAGATAAGCTCCTCCTCCCTCCCCATAGCCCTTTTTGCAGAAAATTTCGAGCCGCGGGATGTCTCCGTGTAGTCGTATTTAGTGTGCCGCTTCGTCTTGCGTCACGTATTCTTCTAGCAGCACGCCTCGCAAGCCCAGCGAGGCTTCGAGGCGATAACGCCTCTCCAAGGCTTTGGGAACCCCATAGCCTTGAGGAGACTCCGTAGGCTCTTAGGAGGTGTCGCGCGAACCAGACGTCTCCTGTGCTCCTTGGGAGCTGCCACTCTTCAAAGCAGTGCGCACTTTAGCGAAGTGCTAACCCAACCTCTATAGGGGCCCTCACCATGCATCACGGCTTGGCAACTAAATGTGTCGAGTTGCGCCAGGTAGCTCGTGGTGAGGCTGGAGGCGAACAGCGCGTCAACCGCTTGCCAGCAGTGATGCTCTGTGCCTTCAAATAGTATCGGGAGGCAGGGGAGGCCGTCCTCCTGGAGAGGGGCTGCTTCCCATCGGTGTGTTGATCGTCTAGCTGCGTTCCCCAGCGTGCCTGCTGTCGAGACACCCCGGAAGCCCCGTGTATTGACACTTAGAGGGTAAAAAGCGAAGCGAAATTCCGTTCTGCCACTCAGGGGACGACGCTTTTAGGAGGGCAGTCGTTGGGAGCGCATTGCTGCTAACGCAGCAACAGGAGTCTGGTTCTCGTTGCACTCACTGCGATAAAGCGAAACTCGAATCGTTACAGAAGACTGTGGCTCCTGGCAGTTGTTGGACTCAGCCTCTACGCTGGGGAGCCGCAGGTGTTCTTCTAAGGAGCAGCAGCATTTCCACTGGCTGGAGCCTTCTTCTCCAGAGCCCCCCACAGCGGTAGTAGATGCGCTAGGAGCAAGGAGGCTGGCACCTAGTACCCCGCCGCTCTGCGGCAGTAACATCTACAGCTACGATTACATATGGGAATGGTCGGCTTCGCAGAGAACTCGCACGAAATATCTTTTCTGCAAGCATGTCCTTCAACGTTGGCCAAAACAGCGTGTGTGTGTGTGTGAGTGTGTGTGTGTGAGTGTGTGTGTGTGTGTGTGTGTGTGTGTGTGTGTGTGTGTGTGTGTGGGTGTGTGTGTGTGTGGGTGTATGTTTGTGTGAGTGTGTGTTGTGACGAGGTTGTGTGGTGCAGGGTGTGTGTGGTGTGGTCGGGGTGTTGGGGGAGTGGGTGTGAGCTTTTTTTTTTTTGTGGGTTGTTTTTTTTTTTTTTGTGGTGGTGGAGTGGTTTTGGTTTGGT